GAAAAAATAAAAATGCAGTTTTCTTGGTCAAGAGTCCATATGTATATCGTTTACCTTTAATCAAATTTGTTACCAATTATTTGATTTCAGGTATCGACTAATATATATATATATATATATATATATATATATATATATATATATTACAGAAATAGAATTCTGAACTTCTTCTCAATTTAATTATTTCATTTTACCCCAGAAGAAATTTCAATTGGAAGTTTCCATATTTTTTTCAAAAAGTGCGGAAATTTTGTATGTATTGTTAAAAAAAAATTATATGTATATATATATGATATATATATATTTTATATATAAATGAGGATTTTCTTTTTTTACAGTGTTTAACAATCTTTATTTAATATTGTCTATATATATATCTATATATATATATATATATATATATATGTTTATTGAATTTCACAGATACATGGCTTAATTTACATTTTCACATATTGAAAAATAATCTTGAGTCATTTTAAAAAAAAAACCATAATTTTCATAGGAATTTTCAATAATTATCATATATATATATATATATGAATATATATATATCCATATATATTATGGTTCGCCATCTAAATTTAAGGGAGTTCATGTAAAAAACAAAATAACCAAAAAAAATTGATCGGTTCCAAGGATAATTCATTTTGAGGAAAATGAACAGATATTTGGACCAAAGGATTGAAAATTGATTCTTCTCATTTTAAATATTGAAAGTTTATATGGACAAAATATCCATTTATAAAGCAATTTTTTTTTGAGAAAATTAAAATTTGAATTTGCTCATGATTTCATTAAAAAAAAAAAATTTGTTATTGTTGACAAAAAAATCCTTTTCAATTTCACTAAGATGAAATATTTTTATGAAAATAAATAAATCAGATGATCTGAATAAAAAACAAAAGACGAATATAAATTAAACATTTACTGATAAACAAATGATAAACATTATTTTATTTTTTATCGCGCCACGTTTTTCTTTTTGATTTCGTCCATTTTGTATTTTCTCGATATTTATCTTCACCATATTCCATTATGCAGAATATAAAACGAAATTGATATAAATATATACTATATATAAATATAAAATATATATATTATCTATCTATCTATCTATATATAAATATATATCTTATATAAAATTCATTTTATATGCTTATATATATATATACCTTATATATATATATATATACTTATTTTGTACATAATCTTGACCCATTCTTATTGAATACAATATTTGAACAATTTTGTATTTTGGTATAATTTGAATCTAACAAAGTTGATAAATTCGAATGAAACTAGAATCTGGAAGTAATGTTTTTCAGTAATTATGATCGTTGTTCAACATTTTTTTAATGATTTATCCATTATAACTTCTCTTGATGGTTATTTGAATGATATTGAATATGAAAAAATAGGAATATTAGGTACTAAAGTCTGAACCTTTACAATTTTTCAACGTAGGAGATATACGATTCAGGAAGATTTAATTGAACGCGATATAATATTAAGGCACCTATAAGAAATTTTAATCTACTTTCGCCATAGCAAAAATTTTTTTAATCTCAGTTTCTTCAAATGGCACAAAATTCCCAAATAGGTAGTTTTTTTTTTTTTTTTTTTTTTTTTCGTATTGAGAATTTTTGATATTAAATTATTTATTACCTCCATATATTTAAATTTTCATACTTTTATTTATTTATCTATATATATATATATCTATATATATCTATATATGTTATAGTATTCTGTTTTATATATGTGTGTTTTTGTTCTGCCGAATTTAATATTATCTATTCAGAAGTATTTAAATTTGTTCTAATGAATTTTTGATTAGTTCAAAAAATAAATTAAATTTTCACTAATTGCCATCAAACCCATGGTCTGTGTTGATTTGAACATGTTTTTGATTTATATATATATCTAATTTTATACCTATGTATCTATGTTTTTTTCTTCCTTTTTTTAGACATATTGCATATATCTGTTTTGTTCTTATTTATTGATGATTGAATATCTGTGTTTAACTCAGAAATCAAATATCTTCTATTTATTATCTATATATCTTCAAATTTATCTATTCCATTTGCTCATGAAAATATTTCTTTAATTTTAAAATATAAATATTATTTAAAATTTTTACATACAAAATCTATTTGTGTTCTGATTCTATCATCTATCTATTTTAAATAAAAAAAAATCTAATCATTTATATTCTTTTTATATATATATATTTATATAATATATATATATATATATATATATATATATATATATATATATATATATATATAAATATATAACTTTTAAGAATATATCTGTGAAAGATAAAAATGAAAAAAATTTTAAAAACAAAAAAAAACCATTTAGTTTCAACAGGTCATTTTCTTATTAACATGATTTTGATTCTTTCATCTTTATGAAATTTAAATTGATAAAAAAATTTAAACGAATTGATTAATTTAATATTTTTATAATTATATATATATATACATATAATTTTTAAAAATATATAAATATATATATATACACAATATAAAAATATTTATATATATATATATATATATATATATATATATATATATATATAGTTTATGCAAATTTAGGTAATCCGTATGGGTAGACCTATATATAGGATATATATATATATATATATATATATATATATATATATATATATATGTTTGAATAAAAAACAGACCACGTTAAGATTCCATGTAATAAGCTATTTCACCATAACCCCTTTAACAGGGTTCTGGATCATCAGACTTTACTTCCAAAAGCTGAAATGAAAAATGAAAAAAAAATTCACACGTTTTTACGGACCTCATCAAGTATACGTAAAATTAACGAAGTGAGGAAGTGAGGTTTGGAGAGAGGATATGAGTGTGTCATATGTATCATTTTAGTTTCCTATTTTAACCCCAGTGTGTCGGCTGGATGTTGCTCAAATTTAACGCGTCTCGTCTCTAGATAAAGATGGCTAAGGGGTGAATGATAAGAACGACATTAAAGGAAGAAGACGTTACAACAACCCCAATAAATTACACGACAGGTTTCATTCAAATTCTTAGACGCTGTTAATTCGCGTTACTTTAACGTGCATATTTGGGAGGTTAAGGTTTGATAAATATCTAAATTTTAAAACAATCTACGAAGAAATTAATTTGAAATTCGGGTGGAGTTTTGGGTATTTTCTATGAAACAATCGATTGGAAAAATCCATAGACAGAACATTGAAAAAGCAATTTTTTTATATTTAGTATTTTTTTTAATATATATATATATATATATATATATATATATATAGATAGATAGATATTTAGGTCCGGTTCCTTGTCCAGTTAATTAGTAGGCAAAAGATAGATTTTGGGACCTCAATATATTAATCAAACAAAAAAAAAAAAAAATAGAAAGGAAGAAAATTTTAAGTAGAAAGAGACTACTGAGAGAAAATTCAAATTTGGAAATTGAACCACGGTGATAGTCCAAATTTAGAACCAAAAAAAAGAATTCGAATAAGATATGGAATAACACAGATATATTTTAAAAGGAATATATACAGAGAAGTGAAATTTGTTAGTATGAAAATCTAGTCGTAATTGTCTATACGCGACTCTGTTTGGTTCTTGTTTCGAACTACTGACATCACTCGCTCTGACTGACATAACAAATTTTCTGACGGATTTGATTCAGACTGAACAGTATTTAAAGACCCCCACCCACGAATTGTTAAAATTCAGGGCAATAATGGTTTAACGTAGGAAATCGGAGCCACGTGAGGATAATATATGTGAAAATAATATATATTTTGAACCCGTATAAACGGGGTATGAAAAATTTACCATTTACGAAAAGACTCCGCCATTTGCGTAATATCGTTCGGGTATATATATACATTTTTTTTTTTATTTTTTTTCAAATGTTCAGCCATAATAAACTTCATTTTGAATTGGATTGTGTTAATATCTTGAGGCTATTACAGTATTTGTTATTTAAAAAGTCCATTATGTTATTAGGGTAAGGTCCCATAACAGATAAATAGATAGAATAATATTAGTGGTATATAAATTTTCAACAAATAATTATGCAATCTTATATCTAAAAATCTCTCCCCAACTTTTTCAATTTCTTTTCTCTCCCTCTCTCATGTTCTGAGAAATTTTAAGTTTAAATCGTATTATTTGTGTATGTCACCACAAAATGTATCCTTATTAGACATCTGAGTATATTCATATTTCTATCACTTAAACCGTCTTTGACTCCGTCTTCTTTAAAATACTATATGTTAAATTTTAATCACCCCTTCATATTTTAGAAAAAAATGTTCTTCTCTCGTCTGTTACCCGTCCTTATAGTTTTCATTTACTCTGACATTCATACCACAAACATATAAAATATTCTCTCATTAATTTTTTTTTTATTTTTAGTTGTTTTTTTTTTTTTTTTTTGAATTTGTAGGTCTGGGGAACTGGATCGTATTTACGATTCCAATGGAATAAATTATGACCATGGAATATTAGTGTCTAAGACGAATTTATTATGGGATATTTGGGATATATATATATATATATATATATATATATATATATATATATATATATATATAAATGTTAAAAAAAAAAAACGAGGCGTATTTTTCAAACAAAAAATAACGTTTAAAGTAATAACAAATATTTGCTAATAAAACATTTTTTTGGATTTTTAAAACTGAGAGAAAATCCTGTAGTTAGCAGTCCACGTACGGTAATATGGGATAAATAATAAATGAACTGAATAACTTTCCAGTTAATTCCATTAAAGTGTCTTTAGAGTTCTGGTAATAGCCGAAAACGCTCGATCAGGAACATTTGGGCAATGATTACAATTCAATAACGACTGAGCCATATCAACCCGTAAGGAAACAGCAAGATGTACTAATATAAAAAAAGAAAAAAAAAACTATATTAAAACTTATTCTCCGTGCGTCCCACACTGTCTACATGTGACTGGATGCGTATACCCTTACGATCACCGAAGTTAAACAACGTTACGCCTGGTCAGTATCTGGATGGGTGACCACTTGGAAATACCAGGCGCTGTTAGCTTGGATGAGCGGGTGGCAGGATGAAAGCTTACGACTATATCACGTTGAAACACCGATTCTCTATTGTCACGATACATATTTTAAATTCGATCACTATGTTTATACTGTGGTTTAACATAAAATTGTCCAATTTTAGATTAAGCTCTGAACCGTTATTAGAAATGATTAAATATATCTTACTGGAATGTTATCGAGGTTTTTATAACACTATTGGACTCAATTTGAGCAATAAGAATGCATAATTACTCTCAAGCTTAACAGAAGAATCATGGAAATCGATCAAAAACGAAAATGACATGATTTTCATCATTAATTACGAGTAAGTATCGATCACTATGAAGGATAGAAATAAAGTTCATATATATATATATATATATATATATATATATATATATATATATGTGTGTGTAAATGTGTGTGTATATATATGTGTGTGTATATATTTATGTCATGTGTGTGTGTGTGTGAATATATATATATATATATATATATATATTTTAATAAAAATAAAAAAAATTCTCTAGTCACCTAACGACATATTATGGTGCCAAATTTAATCTTTTATGTGACTGACCAGACGATGTGTGTACATCAATGCCATCATTCGCTTTGGACAATTTTACATGTTATCCAAATTTTGACCTCTTTTTGAAGGTGAAAGATTATATGGATAATTTTTATCTCTTAGATCTTAGCCTTTATAAAATGGTCAAACTCTTAGCTGTTTTTCATCAAGTAATGATTTTTGCGATTTCAAGATTGGTTATTCCTACATTTTCGCTTGAGGATGAAACAGGGCTTGATACTTTAACTCAATTTAATTTTAATAATTAAATTGATTTTTAAGGAAATTGGAAAAACATGAGAACATAAACAAATAGAGAAATCATTTTTTTTTTTTAAATATTATTTTATATATATATATTCTAGGATCATTTTTCAACTTATTCAAGATGATATTCGTCCTTTCTAACTTTCTATCTTTCTGTTCCTGGAGTAACAAGATGCCTCACACGTTTCCCGTACGGTTTCATTTTCAAGTCTTTTTTCATTGCTGTTTGGACTGCCATAGGTGAAAGCCCTCTCTTCCGTGCCAAAGGTCTTATGAATTGGATTGGATCTTTTTCTAATTGATCTCTTTATCCTTAAGTTGAAATAAGGATCCCTCTTTGTGTTGTGACCTCATGATCCAGTTTTCCTTTCTACTGTTCCCTCTTTTTAAAACTTATTCACTGTTCTCTTGATGGTTCTTGAATGGACTTTGAAGATGGAATCCAGAGTAGGAATGTTGGCATCATTACTGAAGGCCTGAATGATCTTTTTCCTCTCACCATTGATCAGTTGATAAGACAGTGGGACTGACACAAAACAATTTTAAGATGTTCTCTTTCTAGCTGAATAACTCAAATGGTTTTTCAGTGATTCTTACGATAAATGGTGTCAAGATGGCTTACCTGGAAAAAAGAGACTCAATTATTTTAGTATTTTTTTAGATATTAAACATTTTGTGGGATGGACAATTATGCTGTTACATGATTTGGTTAATTTGCTGTTATACTTTGTATATATATATATATATATATATATATATATATATATATATATATATATATATATGATCCGCGTTGAAAAATTCAGTTTGAATCCAATTACATTCACTTACATGCTAATACCCTTGGAATTGATAGAATTAAAAATTTCCCCTCCAAAAATGGGTAAATAGCAGGACAGACTGGGTTCTATAATTGAATGGCAAGAATTATTATAGAAGGAGAAAACAAAAATTCAAAACCTGCAGAGGGTCGTTTGGGGATATAACGTTTTGCACCAGGTATCTGTATTCGCAAAAAAAAGTGTGGATGGTCTTTGAAACCTTCACCACTATAATTGAAATCATCATCAGTGTTACTGTTGATTTTTGTCGGTTTCCTGGGAACTAATCTGCTTGACCCTCTTTACTTCGAATTTCGACAGGAGAGTCGATTTTTATATATATATATATATATATATATATATATATATATATAAGGGTGTCCTATAAATATTGTTTTAAAAGCAATTATCTTACAAAACTACTAATTGAATACATTTGATAATTGAATTTTTTTATTATTTTTTTTTTCTTTTTTTTCAATATATACCGCAAAAAGACATGGCACACGTCATTTTAACTTCGGTGATCATTACAGGAACCGGTATTTCAATTTGATAAATTTTAAGCCAAAATGTTATCTAATTAATAATTATAAATATATATTACACATATTCGCGCATACATAAATTTGCACTTTGATGTGTTCTTTTGTGTTTGAGATGTGCTGAACTTGATATAAAAAAATAGACATCAATATCTAAGAATTAATTAATTTAAATCTTTCCCTGACTATACGGCCGACATCTGTCTCATACCATTTAAAAAAACAGAAACATACATTTCAGCAATTTATAATGTTTACTATAACACACACACACACAGTAAACACACACACACACGTTATAAATTTTATATATATAACAATATATATATATATATATATATTATATATATATATATATATCCGGAAAACTAATGTTTCGAAAAATTTCAAAATTTGAGAAGTTTGTGATCGATGGAGTAAACATACGAATATTATTGATTCGCTTTTACATTTAACCTTTATTTCGTTGCACGTCATTCTGTGGGTCAGACAGGTTGACCCCCAAAGACATGACAAATCGAATATTATATGATTGCATTAAATACAATGACATTTGAAGAACAAATTTTTTTTATATATATATATATATATATATATATATATATATATGGTCATCCACATACAGAATTGTTTCGCTGCATCACAGTTCATCAGTGTGGCTAGACATCCGGTCATATATATGTGTGTATCATAGCTCATCAATTTTGGTTAGACATCCGGTTCTTACAATATGTAGATATAATGAAAGAAATTCTATAAATAAGAAATTATTAGTCTTATTATCAATATTATTATTTTTGTCGTATATTTACATAGAACAAAAATTATAATATCGATAATAAGCCTAGTATTTTTTTTATTTCTCGTCTCGTTGAATAAGGACACAGGCGTGTCCGAAAATTCTGATTTTCAACATCTTTTCTCATCATGTTTCTATATTGTCAAAAAGAGCTACTAAGTCTTATTATCAATACGATTATTTATATTGCTTTTTTATCCCTCCAGTTTCTTTCAATCGCCTATTATATCTGTCTGTGGGGTGGGGATATGTATGCGTCTGTGTGCAAATTCAGATATAACTAAAAATATGCCTCTAAGAAGACAATATGAATAAAGACAAAAGGAAAACGTTTCTTAAGTAAAAAAAAAAATGTCTATATTTCCGAGATGAGGTATTGTAACTATTTGCACAATTTACTTTGTTCGGATTAATCTTTATCTTGTAGAGTTGAGTTTAACAAGGGGACTTAACTGAAATTGTGATTTCAAAAGGTATGGCACGGGGAATTAGAACAATATATATCCGTAAACTAAATAAAAGGTTCGGTTCTAAATTCCAACTAATATCAACTGAAGAAGGTCGGAGCCTACAACGGCCGAAACGCCGTGAATATGAAAATAAAGATGAGGATAATAGTCCCAATAATGTAAATAGAAGTAAAAATAGCGTTAGGTTTTCAAACTATATATATGAATATATACATATATATAAATATATAAATATATATAAATATATGAATATATAAATATATATACACTATTTACATTGCTCTTCAGGTGGTTGGAATGTCGTACTGAACTCTTTATTTCGCTCACTGGGGTAGACTGTTCTAGTTCCACGTGCCATGTCTAATGTATGTCAGTTATCAGTTATTTCCTGTTACTTCCCCTCTTCAAGTTCTCCACCAGCTTAAACAGGTATTGAACTCACACTCTTTGGGTCCTGTCGCAAGATCTAACCAAGGCTTTTATCCACGGTGTTATGTGTCCTTGAGGACATCCCTCAGTATCTGTCTATATTTCTGAGATGAGTTATTAGGAGAAGGCCGGAGCGTACAATGGCCGAAACGTTGTGATAAATATGGCAGCAAAGATGAGGATGATAGTCCGAGCATTTTAAATAGTGTACATAATACCTCATCTCAAAAGTATAGACAGATATAAAAATATATATAAATATATAAATGTATATAAATATATATGAATATATAATTATATAAAAATATATATGAATATATAAATATATAAAGAAGTAAAATGAATAACAACAATAATAACGTTTACTCATTTTTGCTTATTAGGCCTTAAATTACTTCACTTAGCACCCACCATAGTTTACGTTAAAAACAGTTATTTTGGTGAAAGATTAAAAGGTGAGAGAGAGAGAGAGAGAGAGAGAGAGAGAATAAGAGAGAGGAAGAAAAAGGTAAAGGAGAAAAAGAAAGGGGGGGAAGGTGAGAAAGAAAAGAGCAAATGAGAGGAGGAGGAAATAAGTGAGAGAGAGAGTGAGAGAAAAGGTGGAAGTGAGAAAAAGGAAGGGGGAATGTGAAAGTAAGTGGCTTATTAACCTTTTGTGAGTTATTTATTTTGAAACATATTTCATATTGTCATTTTTACATTCTATTAATTTGTATTCAGTGTTTCCCAAGCATTCCTCCCATCTAAGTATTGACTAGGTTCAATGCTGCTTAACTTCAGTGATCGAACAAGAACCATAATGATTTAATAGCACAATGCAGTATACGAACTAATAGGGAAAAATAATGAAAAACCTATACTTGGAGTGGGCAGATTTAAAATCCAACAGACACCAATGGCTTTCTTTCTTTCTTTCTTTCTTTCTTTCTTTCTAAAATATCTATCTATCAGGATATTATCTATCTATCTTAATCTCTTCACGTATATCTATCTATCTATCTATCTATCTATCTATCTA